AACCAAACTTTGTAATGTAAGGAATCTCAACTATTTGTTTGTCTTGTCTCTCATTCTTGTAAACTGCTTCTAAATGTTTCTCCTATTCGCTCTTTTTGTGTGGCCTCTTTGTTAGCTGCTACCTGTTTTGACGTGTTCTTGATTGCAGAAAGCAATCTATATTGCTCACCTACAAATAAAAGTGTAAATATCAATATTAAAACGTCAAGATTAAAGGTTAATTTTGAGAATTCATTTGACGGCTGACGGATTGACATACTACTCTATGACCAACTCATTTAATCATGAATAGGGTCTGTCATTATTCCATTCATATTAAGATTAATTTGCCATAAAAAGTATGCTAAACCGTCAGTTGGCAGTTGAATCCGCGAATGCTACCAAATACAACTGGCTTGTATTCCACAAAACAAACCCACGGGACATTCGGGAATTCAACTTCCGGCTGACGAATTAACTTTTTATGACCAACTCATTTAATCATGAATAGGGTCTGTCATTATTCCATTCATATTAAGATTAATTTGCCATAAAAAGTATGCTAAACCGTCAGTTGGCAGTTGAATCCGCGAATGCTACCAAATACAACTGGCTTGTATTCCACAAAACAAACCCACGGGACATTCGGGAATTCAACTTCCGGCTGACGAATTAACTTTTTATGACTAACTCAATATGAATAGTACTTGTGACTATTCGATTCAAAGGTAGATAATAAAGAAGGTTAGATCGTCAGCCGTCAGCCGGTAGTAAAGTTCGTGAAGTTAATTGTTTAACAAAGTAATGAACTAACAAACTCAAAAAGGAGTGAACTTGTTCAATATAATGCAATTTACTTCTTACATCAGATTTTGAATCTATATGGTGAGTCTTCAACCTCGTTGATGATCAAATTCATGAATTCCAATGGCCGCTACAACGCCAGCTCTATTCACGGTTTTGCGGTGTGTTGAGCTGTTATTATTATTAAAAATATTTTATTCGTCTATAAGTTTTACATACATTATATTAATACAATTGGACGAAATGGATCGGACAAGAGGCTTTCGCCTATTCTAAGTCCTCTCCTTTGGTTGTCCTAGAGATTTATTAAAGTCTTATTTATTTGTGCAGGATGGGAGGCTTGGGAAGAAATGAGAGAGTGAAAGGAGGAAAAACTACTTGTTAGAGAATCTTTTTGTAACTCTTATGTAATTGTGAACAGCAGTGAATGTGGCTTTGTTTTCTTCATCTGTTTTCCTTGCATTTCCATGGATAAGTTCTGTCAATGTTGTCCTAGGTAGAATTGTTTTGTGACTTTGGTATAAAGTACATTCTTTGAAATAGTGTTCGGCACTTTCTATTGGGTTTCCGCATTCACATTTGGGGCTGTCCTTTACATGGTTGAGATGTAGATCTTGGTTTAAGTCGCTGCATCTAAGTCTTATCTGTGTGTGTATTATTTGAGTGTCTCTTTTCCCATAGTAATAGTAATTTGGTACCTTCTTCTTGTTTGTTATCAATTTTTTGAAGTGCTCCTCAGCTTTTGTGTTTTTTATTGATGCATCAACGTCATTCCACACTTTTATTGTGGCTGGTAGAAATGATTTTCTGTACGCTTCAGTTCTGCATACAGGCATTAATAGGTTGTTAGCTCGTCGGAGATCATGGTCAGACCTTCTCTTGGTTGATTCAATCACATTGCTCAACGAGTCTGTTATTTTTTTGTTTATGAGTTTGTGCATTATTAGTAGTTTTTGTGTTGTTCGACGCTCTTGAAGTTTTGCCCAACCTGTTTCTTTGTATATCAACTCGTGGCTTGTTCCTCTTTTTGCCCCTGTACAGATTCTTGCAGCTTTTAGTTGTAGTTCTTCTAGTTGGTCTTTTTCATAGTTATGACAGTTGTCCCAAACTGGGGAGGCATATTCAATTATAGGCCTAATAAATGCTTTATACATAATTTCCAATGTTTTTCGGTCAAGTTTATATTTAAGTCCTCGCATGACATCTATCATCTTGGCAGCTCTATTTGTTATGTTCCTTATGTGTGATCCCCATGTTCCATTGTTGTCTAATGTCAGGCCTAGATGTTTATGGTTAGTCACTTCTTTGATAACTTTTCCATTGAAAGTGAGTTGAAATTGTCCATTATTTTGGTGTTTTCTCGTGAATAACATTGTTTCTGTTTTTTCTGGGTTGAAGGTTAGTTGCCATATATTGGCCCACTCGTTTGTTGATCGTAGTTGTTCGTTGAGAGTTTCAATTATGTTGTCATTTTCTTTTCCACTTGCAAGAAATGTAGTATCGTCTGCATATATCCTTCCAGTGCATTTATCAGTTAGGTTTTCCAAGATATCATCTATGTACACCAAAAATAACAGTGGTCCTAGGATGGAGCCCTGTGGAACGCCTGCAGAGATATACCCCCAGCTGGATGTTTCGCCATTGAGAATTACCCTTTGTTTTCTGTTGGATAGGTAACTTTTGAACCATTTTAGTAAGTTTCCTTTGATTCCCTTCCGTTCTAACTTGTTAACTAGGCCTTTATGCCATACTCGGTCAAAAGCTTTTGACATGTCACAAAAGACGGCTCTTGTGTTTTCATTATTCTCCATTGTCTCCATGATGTAGTTGTACATCTCTAGTAGTTGCGTTGTTGTGGAGTTTCCTGGGGAATAAGCAGATTGGAATTTTGACAGCAATTTCCATTTGTGTAGGTAGTTATGTACATGAGTATACATTGCTCTTTCGAATACTTTCGCTACACAGTTCAGTAGAGATATTGGTCTGTAATTTGTTGCTATTTCTCTTCTGTCTTTTTTGAATATTGGTGTTACATTCGCTTCTTTCCAAATGTCTGGGAAGACATTCTGTTTTAATGATGCATTGAATATTTGTGCCAGTATCGGGGCTATTGATTTTGCAGTCATTTTTAGAACACGTGGACTTATATTGTCAGGCCCTAGTGACTTTCCTGGATTCAGATTTATAAGTATGTCTTCGACTGTCTGATTTGACAATCTTACCGTTTCTATACTTTTGTCAGTTGATGCTTGGAGAATTGGTGGATCTTGATTAGTTTCCAGTCTGCTTTGGGCTAAAAAATGATTATTCAATAATTCAGCCTTTTCTTTGTTGTTTGATATTGAATGACCATTGACAAGAAAGGGTGTTTCATTGTTATCTGATGCCCTGAAATCGTTGTAGAACTGTTTGACCACAGTCCACAAGGTCTTTGTTCCAGTTTTTCCATTGACCAATTTCTGTGAGAGTCTTAGTTCGTATTCTTCTTTGGCATTTCTGAGTTCGGTTATTGTTTCATTTCTCAGCTTTTTGTATTTTTCCCATAGCGTGTCTGTTCCTAGTGTTTTTGCCATCTTGTAAGCTCTGTTCCGCCTTCTAATGAAACGTTTTATTTTTGTTGTGATCCATGGCAGATCATTTTGCCTTATAGTTATTGTCTTTTCTGGGATAAACTTGTTTATTATGCCTTTAAATTCTTTATACCAATTCTTTACAATTTCATTTACGTCAGTGTCATTGTTGTTATCATGTATATTTAGTATTTGATTCCAGTTCCTACTCTGTATGTCTTCGTTCATCGCTTTCCAGTCTACAAGTTTATAGTTTCTTATTGTTCGCTTATAGTCTTTACCAGACTGTTTTTTAATGTTAATTTCTGTGTATATGGGGCTGTGCTTGCTCATTGATGGTGTTAGTACATCTGTGCGTATGATCGTTCCTGGAGATGTTGTTGCCAAGATATCAATTAAGGTTGCGGCTGTATCTGTTATGTGAGTAGGTTCTTCTATCATTTGATGTAGATTGTATTCTTGAAACAGATCATCAAGTTTGTTGTTCGTCTCATTAAGCATGTCACAATTTAGATTGCCTACCATATAGACATATTTCTTACCATTGGCATATTCTTTGATATTTTCAAGTAAGTTGTCTATGAGAGTCCATGTGTTTGCTGGGCTGTTTGGAGCTCTGTACACTGTAGTTATGAGAACTTTTTTCGTTTCTATAAGGACTTCGATGCATAATGCTTCTAGTCCATTTGGTACCAAGTTACTTACATTTTTGAAAATATAATTTTGTTTTACGAAAATAGCAACACCTCCTCCCCTTCTTTCTAGTCTGTCTAATCTTACTGGTAGATGGTAGCCTCCCAGGGTAATGTTGCTGTTAGGTACATTATCGTCTAACCACGTCTCTGAGAGACACACTATGTCACTGTTTTTTGATTCTATTTTCAGTTGGTCCATTTTGTTCCTTAAACTTTGAGCATTCATGTGAATAATGCTGAAATGAGTCGAGTTTCGAAATTGTTCTTCTGCTGATAGAGTTGATGAGATTGATGATTCAGAGCTACTATTATGCCCGTCTTGGTTGCAATTCTTAGCCATCATTGTTATGGTGGCTTTGTTGTTTTTGATTTTTGATATTTAAGGGCATTTATCTCACAAGTTTTCCTCCTTTTACCATCTCCCTTCTCCCCCTTTGCCATCTGCACTATGATTAAGAGATTATTTATTGTAGCAATGGTTGAATAGAAAAGATAACTTATTGTGACCTAAAGTGTTCATTATATCTTAAAACGTGTCAGCTTTTCTGAAAGGAAAAAAAAAATACATTGGAAGTCAATGTTCATAATTTTTTTTTTTTTAATTGGTGACTGCGTACACCATTGATTAATTTGATACTTTTCGAGTAAAAATTTACTTTGGGTAGTTACCTCTGGTGAAAACATGGTTTCAAATTGATTGGATATAAGTATTTTTTAAACTGAAACACCTTCCCACGCGTTCGTGTATCGGTATATTTATTGTTAGTTGGAGTTTGATTACATAGTTCGCTCACCGGAAGTTGCTTAAAAAAATAATTTAAATTTCGAAATTTAAGTGAGTGGATCGTTTTACGATTTTATGATAGAATATGTTCATGTTCGCCGAAGAAGGTGTTTCAGACTGAAAAATACAGGTATGATTATGTAAAATAGTCGTGTAATTTGAGTTAAGTTAAGTTTGGGACATGTCTTTCAGGTCTGCTAAGTCTACTTCCTTCGGCTCGTCTTTTTCTTTCTTTTTGACGTATACCTGACCTCTGTATGTCCAGACTTTATATATTTTGTTTTCTCTCTTCAGTTTTCTGCCTTCTGTTAGAACCTTTGCAGTTTTGGGAGGGAGATCGTCGTTTATAAATACCCTTTCTTTCGTTTTAAAAAGTTTTTCTCTACCTCTGTAAAATTTGTTTCTGAGATTCATGTCATTGAACCGAATTGTTATTGCCCTCATTTTACCGTCTTGGTACTTCCCCATGCGGAAGGCCGAGAAGTCAGCTGTAGCGATTGTCAAGTTAATCTTTTCTTTGGCGAAGTTCACGATTTTGTCTTGAATTCTCTCGTTGTTGTCATCCTGGATGCCCACGACTCTGACTTGAAGTGCCAGTCTTTGGTTTTGCTCTGACTGAAGTTCTTTATGAAGTTCCTGCAATTTCGCCTTTGTGTCTGAGAGATCCTTCTCCAGTTTGTTTATTTTCTTACTCTGGGTTTCAAGGAGAGGTCTTACGGCCTCTTGAAGCGATGCTACTACTTGCTTGTCTTTGAATGCTTCTTTTAGAATGTTTGGCATTATTTTCAAGAAATCGTCTGTCGTCATGGCCGCCATTTTATCTCTCTTCTCTCTTGGTTTAATTGCTTCCAGGGCGTCACAAAACTCGTCTTCCTCTCTATTCCTTTTTCCTTTAATCACAAATAGGTCCAGTTTCGTTTGAGATTGAGTTTCTTGAGGATTCGACATTGAAACTTGACAAATTTCGTGAAAAGTTTGAACCGGATGTTGACGAACAATCCCACTTCCGGTTTAAATGTCAACAAAGTTCGATCTCTAGCTCAAGTGTTGTTTACTGCTTGTTTCACTGCGTGTATCACCAATTAAAGTTTACCAATCTTTTCTGTAATTGTTCATATTGTATTCGTTTTGTTTTTTCCTCCACGTCTTTGCCTTAGTCACACTTTAGATCACAAAAAACGTCTCTAGATTTTTTTGGGTTTCATCTCTTGGTTGCCGGGACAACAATTCGAGCTGTTGAGCTGTTGAGCTGTTCTGAGAAGTTCATCATCAGTAGCATCAAATAACCTGAAACAAAAACACAAGTGGTATACGACCATCAATCATGAGATGAGCTTGTTTTTCTATATGTGTAATTTGTGATCATCAAGATCAAACAGGTCTATCTTGTGTCAACAAAATTCTCGTGTCACACGTTTAAGGCGCCTACATAATCCTGTGTCACGATTTGAAGCACTTGCTATATTCTTTTATGGAAAGTTCTATCTTGTGTCTATGTAGGTTCTATCCTGTGTCAACATAGGTTCTATCTTGTGTCAACATAGGTTCTATCTTGTGTCAACAGAGGTTTTATCTTGTGTCACGATTTAAAGTAAGTGTTATGTTGTTTTATGAAAGGCTCTATCTTGTGTCAGCCTAGGTTCTATCCTGTGTCAACATAGGTTCTATCTTGTGGTACGATTTCAAGTACTTATATTGTTTATGAAAAGTTCTATCTTGTGTCAATCTAGGTTCTATCCCGTGTCAACATAGGTTCTATCTTGTGTCACAATTTAAAGTACTTGTACTTCAACAAAATTCTCGTGTCACACGTTAAAGGCGCCTACATAATCCTGTGTCACGATTTGAAGCACTTGCTATATTCTTTTATGGAAAGTTCTATCTTGTGTCTATGTAGGTTCTATCCTGTGTCAACATAGGTTCTATCTTGTGTCAACAGAGGTTTTATCTTGTGTCATGATTTAAAGTACTTGTTATATTGTTTTTTGAAAGGGTCAACCTAGGTTCTATCCTGTGTCAACATGGGTTCTATCTTGTGTCACGATTTAAGGTACTTGTTAAATTGCTTTATGAAAGTTTTATCTTGTGTCAATCTAGGTTCTATCATGTGTCAACATAGGTTCTATCTTGTGTCACAATTTAAAGTACTTGTTATATTGTTTTTTGAAAGGGTCAACCTAGGTTCTATCCTGTGTCAACATGGGTTCTATCTTGTGTCACGATTTAAGGTACTTGTTAAATTGTTTTATGAAATGTCCTATCTTGTGTTAACCTAGGTTCTATCCTGTGTCAACATATGTTCTATCTTGTGTCATGATTTAAAGTACTCGTTCTTTTGTTTTATGAAAGGTTCTATCTTGTGTCAACCTAGGTTCTATCCTGTGTCAGCATAGGTTATATCTTGTTTCACGATTTAAAGTACGTGTTATATTGTTTTACGAAAGGTTCTATCTTGTGTCAACTTAGGTTCTATCCTGTGTCAACATAGGTTCTATCTTATGTCACGATTTAAGGTACTTGTTAAATTGTTTTATGAAAGGTTCTATCTTGTGTCAACTTAGGTTCTATCATGTGTCAACATAGGTTATATCTTGTGTCATGATTTAAAGTACGTGTTAAATTGTTTTATGAAAGGTTCTATCTTGTATCAACTTGGGTTCTATCCTGTGTCAAAATAGGTTCTATCTTATGTCACGATTTAAGGTACTTGTTATATTGTTTTATGAAAGGTTCTATCTTGTGTCAACCTAGGTTCTATCCTGTGTCAACATAGGTTCTATCTTGTGTCACGATTTAAAATACTTGTTATATTGTTTTATGAAAGGTTCTATCTTGTGTCAACTTAGGTTCTATCCTGTGTCAACATAGGTTATATCTTGTGTCATGATTTAAAGTACGTGTTATATTGTTTTACGAAAGGTTCTATCTTGTGTCAACCTAGATTCCATCCTGTGTCAACATAGGTTATATCTTGTGTCACGATTTAAAGTACGTGTTATATTGTTTATGAAAGGTTCTATCCTGTGTCAACCTAGGTTCTATCCTGTGTCAACATAGGTTCTATCTTGTGTCACGATTTAAGGTACTTGTTAAATTGTTTTATGAAAGGTTCTCTCTTGTATCAACTTGGGTTCTATCCTGTGTCAAAATAGGTTCTATCCTATGTCACGATTTAAGGTACTTGTTAAATTGTTTTATGAAAGGTTCTCTCTTGTATCAACTTGGGTTCTATCCTGTGTCAAAATAGGTTCTATCCTATGTCACGATTTAAGGTACTTGTTAAATTGTTTTATGAAAGGTTCTCTCTTGTATCAACTTGGGTTCTATCCTGTGTCAAAATAGGTTCTATCTTATGTCACGATTTAAGGTACTTGTTAAATTGTTTTATGAAATGTCCTATCTTGTGTTAACCTAGGTTCTATCCTGTGTCAACATATGTTATATCTTGTGTCATGATTTAAAGTACTTGTTAAATTGTTTTATGAAAGGTTCTATCTTGTGTCAACTTAGGTTCTATCCTGTGTCAACCTAGGTTCTATCCTGTGTCAACATAGGTTCTATCTTATGTCACGATTTAAGGTACTTGTTAAATTGTTTTATGAAAGGTTCTATCTTGTGTCAACTTAGGTTCTATCCTGTGTCAACATAGGTTATATCTTGTGTCGCGATTTAAAGTACGTGTTAAATTGTTTTATGAAATGTTCCATCTTGTGTCAACTTAGGTTCTATCCTGTGTCAGCATAGGTTATATCTTATGTCACGATTTAAGGTACTTGTTAAATTGTTTTATGAAATGTCCTATCTTGTGTCAACTTAGGTTCTATCCTGTGTCAACATAGGTTCCATCTTGTGTCACGATTTAAAATACTTGTTATATTGTTTTATGAAAGGTTCTATCTTGTGTCAACCTAGGTTCTATCCTGTGTCAACATAGGTTCCATCTTGTGTCACGATTTAAAATACTTGTTATATTGTTTTATGAAAGGTTCTATATTGTGACAAACTAGGTTCTATATCCTGTGTCAACATAGGTCTATCTTAATTGTTGATTTTCTTTCTCAGAGATATTTTTTTTCTTTTTGACGTTTCGTAGGATGTCCGTCCTACTTCTTCAGAAATAAAATTATATTTGAATCAAAATCTATCTTGTGTTACAATTTAAGGTAAAATTATTAAATTGTATTATAAAAGATGTTTTCTTGTGTCAACCTAGGTCCTATCCTGTGTCAACATAGGTTCTTGTACTCGTTAAATTGTTTATGAAAGGTTCTATCTTGTGTCACCATAGTTTTGTCCTGAGTCACACTTTAAGGTACCTACAAAAACGTTTCATGAAAAAAATAATAAACTGCAATCGACTTTTTATAGAACAGTTTAAATTCTGAAGATGGTAAAATGGTAAAATACTTACTTTTTACAAAGCTGATGAACATAAGTTCTATGCATACATCATTCCTCAAATCTTTCTATCATCGTATTTCGTAGAATCATGTTGATAGTCGGTGTGTGACCGTTTTCAGAAATGAAATTTAAAGTTCTTCAACAAGTCTCCCTATCTTAACTGACATTATTTTGAATCTTCATATCCATACGACTGTGTGTACACTATTACTGTGACCTACTTGTAATCTGATCAGCTATACGTTGATAATGATGTGCCGTAAATGCTCATCAGTGCATTAATGAATATTAGCATAGATTTTGATAAATGTTATGTTGTGTATTTAAATAAATATGGTAAATGCAACTATTTGTTTGATGCGTTCAGTCCATGATATAACTTATTTATTTTCGCCACAAATACGCATACACATTAGCCACATTAATCTTAGTTTAATAAATCCCCATTAATGCACAGTAATTCATTTATGTGTAAATGCCATTTTGTATATTTTAATGCATTTTACCTCATTTATTGGTTAAATAGACAAGTAAGCATTTACAGGATTTGAACAGATTTATCCTTTTTGACCCAGTGAATATATTGTCATTCTAGTTCTACCAAGTTTTAATGGTCTATCTCTAGTGGTTACGATTTTATGGCCATTTAACAAAACATGCCACAAAATATGGGAGTCATGTCTGGAGACCAACTTGAACGTTTTGGGCTTAGTTGTACACAACACGCTCATACACATCTTGTGTTATGGCTCTTATCTTCCTTCTTATCTCTTGTTTCAATGTTTCAAGGGTTGTTAGTGTAGAAAATAGGCCCAAAGATAAAACTCTGGGGTGATTTATGTCCATTCAGTGAGACACATTTCGGCGTTTTGCCCATGTTTTGTAAATAACCATAAAATCGTGACTATTATAGATAGACCAATGACACTTAGTAGAAAAGGACGTTGAACAAGGTTTTAGCCGATTTTATTCTGATTTACTTTTCACCATCAAGTTTAGGCAACCAGTTGGGACATTTGTAAGTATGCTCATCATTTGAATGAATTAAGGTGTGTACTTACAGACTTACTGATGTTTTTCATTCAATGTAGTTAGCCTTATCATTTTTATTTTATTTTTCCTCCTATGGTAATGTGTCAATAAATATTGTTGATGTATTACTTCATACAGCCTTCTTATATTACTTTTGTATACTTCAGTGATCTCCCCAGCATTAAAGCAAATGAGCGCAGCATTCATTTAACATTTTGAAAACATGCTTGCACCCACCTGAAAGTTATTTGCACCTGAAGGTTTATTTGCACCCACTTAAAAATGAGAAAAATCATGAAAGATGGTCATATTTTGACCAATTTTGGTCTGAATTGTGTAAATGAGAATTTTGCACCAACTTTAGAATAAATCCTGTGGATATCACTGCACTTACTGATGTTTTTCCCTGCAGAAACCGAGCATTCATTGGTACTTACTGATGTTCATTATTTGGATGAAATAAGGTCTGTACTGATGTTCCTCACCTAATGTAGTCAGGTTTATCTTTTTATATT